CTGTGAGAGTAAAGTGTCTTGCCCAAGAACACAACACAATGTCCCCCGCCAGGGCTCGAACCCGGACCGCTCGATCCGGAGACGAGCGCACTAGCCATGGGGCCACCGCGCGAGGAAGAGGGATAAATCCAAAAAGAATTTCACCATGAAAGAAACTTTTCACAGAAGCCAATCTTAAAGGAGTTCAGTCACTGTATTTTCAGTTATTTTGGCCATGTACAAAACTACCTTTAAATTGAGGGAAACCTGAAAATAGTAGTTTGATTAGATAGAAAAACACCTAAAGGGATAGTAATTAACCATAAAGGAACAAGGATGGTTAAAGATGGAGAAGATTAATACGGATTACAAACAAGAAACTTGAAAAATACAGGGTAAACTTTTGAAGGTGCACAAACCGTGACGTAGCTCCTTTAAGACATGAACCTGGCCTTCTCAAGTTTGTTGTCATGGTATTCAATTCTCATATCTGCCATGTTGACTAGTCCTCACTTCTTAAGAATTCCTGGCATTTGAAACTAAATAACACTATTGCACAAAATGGAACCATCACTGTTGATTTTCTTTAAGACTAAGTGTGGTTTTGACGTTATAAAAACGGGCATAACATTCGAGATTCTTGCATTTGCAGGGAGTTGAAAACATTTACACTCAGCACACCCCACTCCTGTCTGAAACACTGGACAGCCTGGTCAAAGGAAAATTAAAAGAAACACACTTCCCGTACATCGGTTCGTCAGTGCTTCGAGACAGGTAACTCAAAACAACAGCTTTCAACCCTTACAGCTCCAACAGTGATATGCTTACAATTTCTCCTCGTTATTAAAATGTACAGTAAAGAATGCATATTATGAGAATCAAAACAGTGATCGGCGAAAATATTGTCTTGGAGAGTTCTCATAAATTCTTAGTACAGAGATTTTCAAAAATAATTGTGTATTTTGTTCAGTTTGGTGGACTCTCGAAAGAAGCCAAAATGATGTCGGTCAGCAATCCCCTTTTCATGTGCTCTAACCAATCAGCGAGAGGAAAGTGTCTTCTTGGCCAGTGAAACGCGGAACCCAATGCAATCGTGAGGCCTGACGCGGTGTTTTCCCGCGGATTTCTTTATCACCTTTATGGTCATGTGTAGTATCTCAATTTTTGGAAGCTGCTGCAGTAGGCTAATACTTAGATAAATGAAAAGCAACTAAAAATCTTGTTAATAGAAGGAGTTTCAAATGTGATTGTAATTCCTGAAGGGACAAACATGTTAAACGTTTTATATTCAATGTTGTTTCTTTTGAAGGCCTCAAGAAATTATTGTGTTTATGGTTGGAGGCGCAACTTACGAAGAAGCTTATGCAGTTTATAACTTAAACAAGACCTTGCCTGGAGTGAAAATTGTTCTTGGCGGCACTACGATTCATAACTGCAAGAGGTAAGCATTAGCCTTGCTTTCATTCCAGTGTTATCTTTAAATTTAACACTTTACAAATCATTTGGGTTTGGCATTTTTGTTGTGGACCTTTGTTCTAATCCAAAGCACACTTACTCGCTTCATAAACTGGGCGTTTAGCAGTGCGCCAGGCACATTAACTGTGATTGAACAATTTGAAAGTGAAGTTGCACGTTGATTGGCTGCATTTGAATGCAAAAACGTTTTTTTTTTTGTTCGACTATGTTAGAACTGTGGGTAAACTCAATTTACACTAAACGTCTTAAAGAAATTTATTGTACAACTTGGGTCTGTCAGACAACTGTATCGAACTGTACGTGGACCATCTCCCAATTAAAAAGTCAAACCCTTAAAGATTAGTAATCTGGGCGTGGCTAAGGCTTTATTTGAAACCAAAAAGATAGCACTTAAAACAGAATAGGCGTGATTACCAGCCACTGTTCAGGAAAGGAGCCCATGCTATTAGACCAGACTCGACAGAGCGGCGGTAATCGAGCCTGAAAACGGAAATAAGAGTGTTTCTTTTATTATTATTTGTTCTTCGAGTGCACCCTAAAAGATACTCTGTCAGCTAAAAAAATAGTGGCGTTTCGTCGTCAACACCCTAAGTGAGACCAGAATCCTAATTTATACCCCTAAGCGAGACGACAAGCATCGAAGAGTTCCCCCCCGGGAGTTTTCCCTTGAGCCGGTTTATTTTATGGAAACACTTGCGTACTCATAACAGCTGAGGAAACATCATGACTCGCCAAAAGCCATGTGTGTTTCCACAGCAACAATTCTCATTCTTCACCGAAAAGTTTTTGTTCTAAAACATAGTCGGATTGCTTTTATTCCTTGTTTGTTTGGACTTAGATCTATCTGTGGCAATGCGGCAGTTTTCTAATCTTTCTTTTTTTAAGCAGGGCGCACCTTCCTAACCACAAACTGCGTCACTCGCGTTCCCAGAGTACATATTTGATCAGTCTGTTTGTCTGTTCAAACAGAAATCACCGAGGGTACCTGTGATAGTTTTGAACAAAAAAGAACGATTTTTAAACAAAAACAAAAACTCAACGAATTCAAAATAACACAAATATCAATTCACAGTTGTGCAAAGCCATGGTATTCACTTCGTTAGTTGGAAAGGAAATGAAAAGACGAGAAAGGCAGGACTGCCTTAGTTAAACGTTTGGAATAGATTAGGCTGGGTGTGAAATCTATCGAAAAACGAATCGTCGAAACGAACTGCCCATCACTCAAACACTCGTAGATGGTGAAAATAAAAATAAAGTACTTAATGTCTAGCTAACAAGGATTGGGTGTAGATTTAGATGGACGCAGGACCTTTATAATTCGCCGAGAAATGATGATGCTTCCTCGTATTAATACTGTAATGTTTGTTTGAAATGGCGTCAGATGTAGTAATTATACGAATCCTGGCGATTGCTTCCTTTAACTGTAAAAAGTAACGTGGGTCATATATGTCTACGTAGCGTTGATAGTTTTCGATGACTCATTTATGCCTGCACGTGTAATCAAGGTATCATTGGAACCTTAAATTTGGTCAGTTTAGTTTGAAATCGAAGGGCAAACTTATAATGGGCTTCTTGCTCAATCTCGCTGTAGCTTATATTGTTTCTCGTACACTAACATTGAAAAGGTTAACAGGCTAACCTTGAAAAGTCGAGGGTTGTACGGAAATTTCTCTACCTTCTTATTCCACTCTGACTCTCTTCATAGAACACTTGCGATATTAAGACAACAAAAAACAAACTATAAATTTATAGGTTTACGTCGGTGACGTATCTACCGCGCACATCAAAGTATTCTTCTTTGTTAGCGGGTCCGTCATCTGCCGGAAAGTGTTACTTTCATGGTGATATGTTATAGAACAAGTTTCGATAATCCATTGAACAATCAGTTGACGTCACACGTTGCTTAGTAACACGACGTACCTTTGAAGCTGCGGGCAGACAGCGGTGAAACGTAAGGCGTATGCGCAGTACAGCTTTATAACCCCCCAGCTCCAAATATGAAATGTTTTTGTTACTTTCACGACCTTTTTTGCCCTCAGTGAAAGACTTGTCGCTTAACTGGAATAATAAAGCATCCGAGAATGAATACAGGCTCCTACAAGGATAAGAAATGATAAGGATGAAAAGGTAAATTCTTCTTACTGGTTGCCAAAATTTCTTTACCTTTTGTTTAAGAGAATTTGGTGATACATCAATACAAGACAATCCTGCTCCGGTTGAGAATGTTCTTATTCGCGTGAAAATTGTCATGCTCACATTGTATTGATGTTGTAAAAAATAAAGAACTTTACGTTAAGTGGTCTTGGGAATTAAAGATCGAAACACAGCCGTGTGCGCTGTTGGTCAATAAGAGCTCTTTTAAATTTGAATACGATGGGAATTTGAGAACACTGGAGAAAACCAAACCGTGTTCGCGGAAACCAGCTGTTGTAGATGGCGAGAACAGCCGGCATTTGGACTGTTATTTGGAACTGTCATTCAAGTCTCTAAATACAGAGGTAATATTCTCTACAGCTTTAGCAATGCATTTTTCCGTCGTAAAACACGACGGACATTTGAGAACCCTAGGGAAATGAAGAAAATAACCGCAAGCAAGTGTTTTCTCAACATATTTTAAGAAGCTTTGAGAAAAAGCTGAAGCAATTTCTCTATAAGGTTAATGCAACTTTTGCATTTTGAAGACAAATTAATTTTTGTGTCGGGTCGTGTTAATTTCCAATATATGACGGTCGCCATAATCGTTGTTGACACAGCGTAGGGCGGCATGCACAATTAAAACTCTCGGAACAACATCAAAAGAGTTTTGATTAGCAAGGGAAAGCGATTTATATCACTTACTTCAGCTTACAGCTCCAATAAACCCGGCCCCGATGAATTTTTCGTGCGGGCACAATGTTCACACGGCTTACTCTCGTATATGTATTGTGAGAAGGCCTGAGTTCAGTTTCCAGCTGAACTTAGATGATCGAGAATTTGATTCTCCTGTCGGACTTGCTTGTTTAATTACTGCACGATTCAAATTTGTATTATTAAACATATATAGTTACGGGATGGCCGTGAATCGGTGACTTGTTCAATAGGAGAAAATGTTTGTTATAGTGAATTCAACTTTACCTTAAAGGCACGATGTTTTCTTAGATCTTATTGAATCAAATTTGTATTATTAAACATATATAGTTACGGAATGGAATCGGTGACTTGTTCAATAGGAGAAAATGTTTGATATAGTGAATCCAACTTTATCTTAGAGGCACGATGTGTTCTTAGATCTTATTAAATCGAAGCCTTTCTCAAAGGGTCGGCACGATCTCAAGAGTTTATTACCGACCGCATTTAGTTATTTTAGTCGGCGAAAACAATGTATTTCTATTAAAAATGGATAATAAAAAGAGCTTAAGGTATGGTGACTTGTAGTCTAGGGAGAGAGAAGATAAAACAGATATTGCGAGAGGAATAAGTGGCGGTGCGCGTTCACACAGTTTTCAACAAACTTAACTGAGATCGAAAACTGGAGGGTTCTTTAAACAGTATCCAGAAAAGTACGTTTCTTTACAGCATTTTAAGCTAGCTTTGAGGAAAAGCTTGTCGTTAATTGTATCGCGTTCCAAGAACAAACCGCTTGCATATGGTATCCCTAAACAATTTCGAAAAAAAAAAACAATTCAAAACTGAACCAGATTAAGTTCAGTTTGGTTCCAATAATTTCTTTACAAAACTCTGTCGACAAACTGAAGGATTCTGAGTTGCAAAAAACACC